AATGATACCAAATCAGCTGATATAGCTTCTGTTTAGATTTTTCCCTATTATCCATACCATAGTTACTACTCTCAAAAGACAGGTCTAAAAATCAGTTTGTTATTTATCTGGCTCGGGATTTTAAAGTCACAAAAGTTAGACATGATGTGTTTTTGTTTTGTTTTTGTTTTAATGTTTTAAATGTTAACATCCAAGTCTTTTATCTACTTTCTAAATTTTTATAAAGCCAAACTAACACATTGTAACTGTAAGATTTTAGCTGGAAAACATGAAATTAGACATTTTACCTAACTTAGTACAATTTTTGTTTGTACATTTGTATGGCAATGACTTGTTTCAGTAGCTAAATCCCAGGAAAAAATGTCATGCCACTGTAAAAATTCATGCTATAAGCAAGAGTTATGAATACTCTTTTTTAATTAGTTAATTCTTTTTAATTCAGTGGTTCTAAAAACCACAGTAAAGGTTATCAAAGGGGGGAAACTATTAAAATATACAGAGCAAGTACATAACATTTCAGGAGTAGTGAACGTTGCCTCTTCTCACAATCTATTCTTTACAACTTCCATTAAGATAAACCTTTTTAAAGTTCAGTTCTTATATTCCTCATTTCTTCAAAACCTTCAGTGGTTCTCTACCAAAGAAGTCCAGAAGCCTTAGAGTTCCAAAATGCATAATAGTAAATGAAATAATGCACATTTCCTGTTTCCATTGCACAAAAGATTTATCTTGTTCTAAGCGAATTTAGTTTAAAACAATTCTTAACTTCTAAAGCTCTTTATTATTTGTTTTCTATCTAAGTACAATAATAAGGAGACAAAGTTTTTAGGTGCGAGTTAGTTAAAAGTAAGTTTCTTTTTGCTGTAGATTCTAAAACAGATTAACAAAGGCATAGGTTTATCTCTTATTACTGCTAGTTCATGACCAGACCCAGTGAAAGGAAGTACTGCCATGGTAACATAAACCAGACTGTTATTTGGAGACCTTATTCAAGATACTTAACTTCCCTGAACTGCAAGTTTTTAGTACCAGTTCTTCTAATTTGCTGTTTCAAGGAAATGGCAATTCTACCACAATCAAAACAATTTGCAACTCTCACTATTTTTAAACCTACAGAACAGTGTTCTTTCATTATGCTATTCTGCTATAATAATTATGACATATTCAAAATTAAAAGAGCCTCAGTAATACACTAATATTACCTTGAAAAAGAGTTTGGGAAATGAAAGCACAATAGAATTTGAAAAGTAGTCTTGAACTATATAGTTTCTAGGAGTGTAATCTCAGGAATACCAAGATAGAACATGGCTAGAATTATTAAAATAATTGTCTTAGTCAATATATGAATAATAAATCATGCATATTATTTCTCTATGAAACAGAATGATGCTGTGAGTGCTAACATTTTAAAGTTTTATTTCTCTATCATCAAAACACATTTATCATTTGGACCAAGTGACTGAATATATATCTAATATAAGAAGTTTCATCATTTAATCTAAAAATACATTTGTAATACTTGACTTCCTTTGGGGAAAAAGACAAAATTTCAAATACTTCTTTAGCATAGCTCATGTGATATCTTGCCATTGAAGGCCGGGAAAAAGTTTCATCTGGAATATAGTATATTTCTTTCTATATTACAGTGTGATATGACACCCATGGTTTTTCTTTTCCTGTGTATTTAAGTTGCTAGGGTGTTAAAAACTGCCTAACACTCAATTACCATACTTTTCCTCAAACAAGAGCTTTTTCCCTTCCAAATTTAGTTTATCCTTTGTTCTTCACTACCTAACTTTTGTCTTTTTTTCAGAATTGATTTTTGTTCTTACTGATTTTTTAAAACTCCTTCAACTTTTAAAAGTAAAGGAGTAGGAATATACAAATGCCGATTTCAGAATAATCCCTTAATATTTATTTTGCAGCTCCATGTCACTCATATAAATTACCTTCTTTTTTAATTTTTTAAATGCCTACAGCACCTGGTATTTCTAGGTGGTCTCACATCAAGGTACTAAACAGGCCCGACCCTACTTAGCTTCCGAGATCAGAGGAGATTGTGCATGTTCAGGGTGGCATGGCCATAGACTAAATTACCTTCTTTGAATCTCTTCACAACTCAGTCAAGTGACCTGGTTTCTTATTTTATAAGTAAATTATGAATAAGATGACTAACTCTTAGAGATTAAATGATTTGTCCAATATCACATAGCCAATCAATAAGCAGCTTTAAGGACCTCAGTTTTTAAACCTGCAGAACAGTGTTCTTTCATTATGTCATTCTGCTATAACAATTATGACATGATATTCAAAAATAAAAAAGCCTCAGTAATACACTAATATTACCTTGAAAAAAAGTTTGGGAAATGGAAGCACTCTGAAATTCATCATGTTAAATCTTCAGCATCATAATAGTTTATATCATATAGGATTTTATATGGGCAAAAAGTAGAGGAACAGAAAACATGTAAATATTATTGTTGTCTAAATAAATTGTTAATGTACTTTTAAAGTAATTCAAATTTTAAGAAATGGTTTTGAAATAGAAAAATTAGCAGTTTGAATCTCACTCATCTCATTAATTAGTTCTGAGTTTCTGAGAAGTTTTGTCTATCACAGGTGGGAGAGGGGACTGGTTATGCCTTATATTTAATTTTCAATATTTGTAGAGAAAAAATATCTAGTAGCCAACATTTATCGAGTGCTTATGTGTTTGGCAGTGTTTAAAGCTCATTATGTGAATTAACTTATAATACAGTAATTCTTGAAGTTGGTGCTATTTTATATGTATATTTTGAGCATACTAATATACAGAGAACATAGACATTTTTCTAAAGGTTAAACAGCTGTTAAGTGATAGAGCCAGGATTCCAAAGTAAGCCATCTTTGGAGATGGCTCCAAGGCTCCAAGGCTTGTACTCTTAACCACTCTACAAATAGCTCCAGGGAAGTGGGGTAAGGTTACAGTTGGACTTCCGCCTTACATGGCTATGAAGTGCTGCGTGTAAACTGTGTGGATGTGGTACGTTTGTAGGGATATGCTTGTAATTGGGCTTCTGTTAAGGATGTGCAGAGGTAGGGATGTTCAGCAAAGGTTTATCCTGAAGAAAGTGTTAGCAGGTGATAGACAGTTCCTAAAATTCAGTTATTTCGTTTCACTAGCTCAGTGTGTGTATAACATACTGATAGTTTTTTAGAATATTGTCTTGAATTTATTTATCAATTCCATTCTTTTTCTGATTCCTAGTTTATCAAGTTATCAATTTTCTTTTTATATAATCTTATGTAATATGTCTATATTATATAATAGTATGTAATTTTCATTCTCCGTTTTTCCTCCTAGATATGATAAAAGCTTGTTTCAAATTATTTCAGTTCTGGTTTAAGAATGAGAGTGTTCGAGGATATATAAATTTGCCTTTAAGTAGAGCTATGGCGACATCGGTTTAGTTTTGATATCACAATGTTTCTTATACCCTTAATTTACTAGATAATTTGTAATTGTAGCTTAGAAATCTTTTCGGTCCAGAAGTGTATAAATTTCCAAGTGTTAGGGAATTTTGTTGTTATTGGGATTGTTAATTTTTTTTTCTTCTTGTACTAGAGTCTAAAATTATGATCTTTAAAAGGGAATTTATTTTTCTTTATGGCATGATCATTGTAGATTTTTCCCATTAATAATTGGGAATATATTCTACAAGAGTTCGTTAATTACATCAGTTTTTCTCTTAGGTAATCCGTAGGACACTAACTCCTCCAGTGTTGCCTGAAAGAGATTCTGTGTCAGATAACTTTGGGAAACCACATAAAGCAGGTTTAATTATAGCAGCACTACTTAGATCCCTTAATCTGCTAATGTGTAGTATGACCTAAGAAGGAGGGAGATAAAATATGCAGCATTTTCAAACCTATTCAAGGAAATTATCATATAGCTTGGCCTATTCTCTGCATGTTAGATAATATTAGTGACGTTCTTCAGGTATCTTGTCCACTTACCTTCTTGGTAAGCTGTTCCTTCATATTATTGGAATTGTGGATCAGGCAGGCCCTTCTTTCAGGCACTTCGCATTCGTAATTTAGCAGGCACTTTTATTTATATGTTCTCTAGTTTCCAGTAATCATAAAAATTTCATTATTTTTAGATTCTGTTGATTATTTCAGTGGCATCTGGGCTTATGTGCTCATCGCCATATTATCCAGAAGTTCCTCAAATGTTGTAACTTAACCATCTTGAGGGAAGGAATGATGCTTCTTCCTCTATTTTTTACAGGAGTCTTTTCCATACCTCACTCATTTCCCATGTTTTTCATTAAATTGTTTGTGTTTTAAATATAAACTTATTTTAAATGGGAACTTAAAACATTACTGTTAATGTCATTAAAAGTAAAAATTATTCTTTGATGCCTCACCTAGTATCATATTCTTTAATACTTTTTGAGAAATTATGCTGTATAGAAAGTTTAATTTTTCCTATTTTTTGTAACAGTAATAATAATGGCTAACATTTATTGACATCTTAGTGTGTGGAGGAGCACCTTGTACTGTCCTCCATGCTGTTCACTGCACACCTTGGAGTTGTACCATTCTCACAGACTGTGATGTGAATGGGACTTCCTGGAGTTCTGCATTCCTGTGGCCCTATGTATACTGCCAGGCACTGTGCAGTATACTTTATGTATAATTTAACAATCCTATGAGTATCTGTAGGTACTGTTACTATCCTACCTTGCAAATGAGAGAATAATGGCCCAGAGGGATAGAGATTAGTTAACTTTTCTAAGGTCACACTTCAGGTAAATGGCAGAGTTTGAGTTAAGAACCCAGGCAGTTTGCCTCCAGGGCTTTAAATCGTGGTGATTACCTAGCAAGTTTCATCCTTTGCATTGTATTCCAAAGGTACAATAGGAGGTTTTTTCCTCATACATTTATTAAAAACATTCAGATACTGATGTGTATGTCTTAAAGTTCCAGGTTATTAATTCTTGTGTATTTTATTCTAGGTTAATGGAAAAGGTTCTTTATGGTGTGTTAATCCAGAATATAAACCCAACCTTATGCAGGCACTGCAGAAGCAACCTTCTTCCTCAGCATTAACATTTTACACCCCTCCTGCATCTCCACAAAGGTACAGGATCTTCCATATAACTGTCAGTGGTGATTTATAAGATTTCCTTGTATGAGATGGAGAAACTTAAAAACAAGTTGTAGGGGTTTGAGGTTTTTTATTGTATAATTATTTATGGATAAGACATTAGCCTAAGGGATTTTTACTTATAATCTTAATTTGTGTTCTTAGGAAACAGGATATTGGATAGGTAAGAACATAAATTCTGGAAAATGTAGTCAATACTGAATATATTATAACAACTCTAAAGAAAGTTATATGATTTCAGGTACAAATGGTTAAATCATTTTATTTGCCTGCAATAATGTTGACCTAAAGATGTGAGATATTAAAAGTATATTTAATAATTTTAAAATAAGATATTAACAGTTTGTCATTGTAACATTTTGTTTTGTTTTTGCTGGCAAATATAATTGTAATGTATTTCCTTGGCTCTTGCTTTCAAACTCAGTGACTCTTATTGGTCTTAGGGCTTTCTCATTTTAAGTCACATCTGAAAATAATATGACCTCCTTAAATCTAATTTTGTTTCATTTTCCTAAAGAGGCCTTCATAATCTTTTTGAATTATGTACATTCATTTGAGTTAAAAATGCCACATTTTGCCAAGATACTTTTAAGGGTAGTCTATAATGCTTAATAATTTTTTTTAATGTAAAGCTTTTTAATATATAAATGGAAATTTTCAAACATACACAAAAATACAAAGTTATAATGAGCTCCCAGCTGCAACAATTATCACCATTTCATATACTGATTAATTTCTTAAAGTATTATAAATTTTAGAGGTGTGATGGTAACTGAAATAGTAAAAAATTAGTAAGGCTAAAGTTGAAATGTCATTAATATATATGTGTATATATGTACTTTTGAGATTTTTAAGTAGATAGAAGGATCATTGTAATAAGAACTACTGAGTGGTTTATCTTTATCAATGAAATCTAGAAAAGAATTTATCAGTGTTTATATCCTCATCATTTGAGAGTCAGTATCTTCTTTATTAGTTAATGTTGGTGCTTATGTTCCAGTTAAAAAATAATAATAATTTAGAAACTAATGGTAAGCTCTGGGATGGTCACTTATGTGTTTTATTTAGCTATGCTGTGTTTTTATTAAGATTAAATGAGAGAATTGGCGCAATATTTGTATACCATCAAAAGCATACTTTAATGCGCCTTTGATATGTTGCATTTTCATGTTTATATTTTTTAGCTTTATCATATGTTTAGAGGTAAATAAAGATGATTTTGTGGATTAAAAACAGGTAGATAAAACAATGACAGCATAAAGATTATAATCTATGACTTTAAAACATTACCTTAATACTTTTAGAAACATTTTCTCTTTTTCATTTTTTGGCAAAATGACAGTTCCTTCTGACATGCCTTTGTGTAGTCCTTTCCTGTCATAATTAGTAAGTCTGAAGATGAGAATGTGATACAGTGTACATAAAACCGTGACTAAGAAATAGACTTTTAATTTAGTTAGCAAAGCAGATTTTTTTTTTATACTATCACAAACTCCAAAAAACAGAAATAGTTTGTCTCAAAAGTATTTTAATTTTTGGAATTAAAAAAAAAATACTGGCCTCTTTTCATGAACATAGAAAGTTGAATTTGATAATAATATTTACCAATAAAATCAGGAACTTACCTATTTTCCATCATTACCATGAAGTCCTCCTCAAACATTTGTTTTAATAAACACTTTCATTTCTATGGTAACACCTGTAGTGATGTTATATCAAACTTAAGCATCCAACACAACACCAAATAGTGACTATTGTGTACTGTCTATTGTTCCAGGCATTTTAAATGCATTATTCTTATTTAATTAGCACAGCAACCCGATGTGGGGAGGTTTAATTATTCCTATTTTACAGATTAATTATTTTGCCTAAGAATATCCAAATATTAAATATTTTTAAATCACAAAAAATTGTGATTTAATCTTAGATCTTACGCATTTTCTCCTTTGGCAGACTCTTCCTAAACTGAATAGTATTAGCAAAGAAAACAAGGTAAAATAGTTTGGGGGGGGGTTGTACAAATTAGTCATATTTGTGACTAAGCTCTATAAAAAGCGAAATTAAATTTTTGTAAGTACATTTGTCGTATCTCTGTTTTTCAGTGGCTCTTTATCACCTCACTACTTAAGTTCTGTACTCACACAGAACCAGGTGCGAACCCTCAAAGGTATGTATAAGATCAGTATTTCAATCATAAAAATGGTAAAAAAATTAGGATTAAAAAACTTTTCTAATTATAAAGTAATTACACGTTTATTGCAAAAAATTTGGAACATAAAAACACATAAAAGAAAAACTAAAACTTACCCTTTACTGTTAACCTTTTGATATAATTGCTTTAGTCCTTTTTATGGCTTATACATGAGTAGATTAAGTTTGCATGCATGCAGACACACACATATGCTTTTTCTCCAAATACTGAGCTCATACTGTATATACTGTTTTATATCCCATTTTTTATTTCCTTAATGTGTATTCTCCTTTGAAAATAGGAAAATATTCATCAGTAATATTGAGTTATCTTTTCAGGTACAACTTAGGCTAGACTAAGAGATTGGCAAACTATGGTCCATAGGCCATATCTGGCCTGCCACCTGTTTTTATATGGCCTGTAAATTAGGGATGATTTTACATTTGTGAGTGGTTGAAAAAAATAAAAATAATATTTCAAGGCTTGTGAAAATTTGCTACAACAGCAGAGTTAAGTAGCTGCAACAGAGACCTCTGTATTGTATCCTTGATTTTACCTCTCGGTCTACAAAACCTAAAATATTTACTTACTGACCCTTTACAGAAGAAGTTTGCTAACCCCTGTATTAGAATGTAATTTAGAATATTTCTTTTATTGTTTATTTAAGTGTAAAAAACTTTAAGAAGACAATACGTTAACTTTTAAAATTTTGTAGACTTCTTTTTGAAAGTATTTCAAAATTCTGAATTAGTGTTTTTTTCTCCTACTCATAATTAATATTATAGATTAGTAATGTATTCACATAAAGATTTCTAGCATTGTTGCTTTGGCATCTAGAGACATTTCTATAACCTTTAAAAATAGAAATGCTTAGAACAAAAACCTTTCTGTGTATCAGAGACATTTTGGCTCTTTGGAACTACCCTAAGCTGAGCATAGGAAGCAGTGTAATGATGGTCTGTAACAATAAAGGAGAGAAGAATGTGAAAAAGCTTAAGAGAACTCTACAAAGAAGTTAAGTGGCTATGGAGTCTACTTCACACATGTTCAGTCTTAACTATAATGTAAGGTATCCATTTTCCTCATACCTAATGGGTAAATGTGGTTTCTCTTTACATTTAGGTATTGCTGAAATTTTCTTTATTTTTTTATTACCTCATTAATTTGTTATCCTTAATCTTTCAAGATCGGTTCATGCGCACATTTTGAGAATGTTTTCTTTGTGAATTTTGGGATTTATTTAGAATCTTATCATATTCTTGTTCTATTTCATCTAAGTTCTGCTTCCTTTGGGGAGCAGACACTTTCACAAGTTTCTCCTTCTGGTTTCAGTCACAATTTTTCATAACTAGAGCGTAGGTACTTCTCTTTCATCTAATGACTTATACATATTACGCATCATGTCCCCAGTGCTGCTAACACCTTACATCCCTCCTATATCTCTATACTCATAAGTCTTAGACCTATTCCCCTAGTAATAATTAACTTGGTGGTGAGAGTAGTTGGTATTCTGGGTTAAAACAAATGCAGGTCTGACTTGGAGTGGAATACAAAATTCTCATGAGTTTTAAGAGAAAAACATAAGACTTAAGGAAATTTATATTTAAATCAGGTTGCATTAGGGCATATTCATAGACTTTCGAGGAAATTTGCTTTTTCTTCTCTCTTGATACTACTTCTAGGGAAAAGTTTGAAAAAATACAACACTAAATGGATTAAACACTTAACCTATTTATTCTACGAACAACTGCTGAGTTCTTACATGGTGCCAGGCACTATAGTGGGTGCTTTGGGATATGCAGAAATGAAAGACCCAGGCCCCTGATCTCAGAAAATATATAGTTTAATTGAAGAAATTTGGCTAGAATTATGCAGAGTACACTGGGCGAGCGTGAGAGGGTGGTGGGAGGGGATGTGAGTGGCACATTAAGCTTAGAGGTAAGTCAAGAAAGGCCTTTAAGAGAAGAAAGTGTGATGGTTGAGCTGGACCTCAAAAGGTGGAAGGATACTTAACCTTGGGTAGAGGTTTGATGGAAGGTAGTTGCTAGGAACCACAAGTTGATGATAATCAGGTATTCTTGATTACCAAATGGTATGGGTCATTTCTCTAAAGCATATTTTAATAAAGTTATACTTTTCATCAGCGTTAATTGGCAAGACATTGTGGGAAGCATACTTACAAATGTTCTAAACCAAGCAAATCAGAGGTAGATAAAATCCTTTTGCAAAGAAGTTTTTGGTTCCATAAAGTTAATTCCATGGGGAGAGTCTAAATTAATTAAGCTATAATAAATTTTCAACAAGAAATAAATGTGTTTAAGGAATACTATCATTCTGTTATAGAAACAGTACCTAATTTTGTCATCACTTTAAATATTTGGAAACTAAGAAAAGAAATGGTGTTCATACAGCTTTCTTGTATTGTCAGGATAAGCCTCTTATCTGTTTTCTTTAGTTTTAGGTGTAGTTTTCAGAAATGTGACTCCTTAAATTGTAGTGGAAGTTTACTACAAGTTAAAGATATACTAAATTTTTTAATAAGGTTTTATAGATGCTTCATTTATAAGATTTTAAATTTTCTGAAACTGTTTACTCATTATAATGCATTTTAGTGTTAGAGTCTCTCTCACCACCACCACCTCCTTGTATGTGTGTGTGTGTGTGTGTGTAATTGGAAATAAGAAAGATTTTTTTCTGTTAAAAGAAAAATTTTATTTTATGGAACAGCAACCTCTCACTGCTTTTGTATACTGTCATGCAAGTTGTGCCCTACACAAGGACACCTGGCTGAGACAATGAGTGGGGTCTGAAACCCAGCCCACACTTCAGTTTTCAAGCTGTGTGCCTTGATACAGGGAAGCATTCACCTGGAGACAGAGTTGCCTTTTTTCCAATTCACACAGAGATACAATATGGGCTAGTGGCTGTACCTTTTTCTCTTCAAAGACACATTAGAATACTAAACTCTATCAAATTGTTGTCAGGTCTCATTGTAAAAGACAGAAATTAGAGAAGTCTTTGTTTTATTAGCCTCTTGGCTATGATATGTGGGAATCATTGATTCAAATTCTTTTTACTTGCTGTTCTTTTAGCCTGAAATGCTTTCCCTTCAGATATTCACATGGCTTCATTCTGACCATCCTGAGGTCTTTGCTCAACCATTACCCACTCCTTGAGACCTTCCCTAACCTCTGTATTTAAAATTGAAACCACTTTTTCCAATACTCTCTATCTCCCTTCTTTCTTAATTTTTCTCCCTGGTGTTTATCACTCTCTTACTTACTGTGTTTTAATTATTTCTTTGAGTTTTGAGAGGTTGAGCATTTTCCTGTCTGTTTTCTGCTGTATTCCCGCAACGTAGAATGATGTCAGGCTCATAACAGGACACTCAGTTTATTGAATGAATAACAAATTGAAGGCCTGAGTTCTGGAGGTAGACTACTGAAGTTCAAATCCTACCTCTGTCATTCCTAGAGACCTTTCTGTGTCTGTTTTCTCATCTTTAAGATGGGAATACTAATGGTACCCATATCACAAAGTTGCGAGGATTAGATGAGTTAATAATACTTAAAACATGCCAAGATTATTGAAAGTACTCAGTGTTTGTAATTTGGTGATAATCAGCTTAATCTAAGGAAAGAAGGGCATAGATGTAATATATTTATTCTTTATGCATTAATTAAGAACCTATTGTCCCAGCTATCATGGATGATAAAGACATGGTTTCTACCCTAAGAAGCTGACAGTCTAATTGGAAAGATGATCATGTAGAGACACTGTTTTATGAGGTGACATTTTAAGGGAAAAGACCTCTAATATTATGTGCTCCTTCATAGCAACCATCTCTGATTTACTCGGGCTTATTTAAAAAGTCAATAACAGAAATATTTTCTGCCTTCACAAAGTTTACAGTCAAGTTGGGGGAAAAAAAACAAGTTAATATCTTCACAGCTTTATTATCTAAAATAACATTATAATTAAATATTGCAAGTAAAATGGAAAACTTTGGGATAGTAAAAATTTTTCAACTTTGAGATAGAAATGGGAGGTTTTATATTCATGTCTTATTTTAAACTTATCCTTTATAATCTAAAATTTTTAAATACTTTTTAACTTTTCCTTCACATTTTGGATTATACCATTTTACTTTTATTCAATGACAATTATTTGGACTAATAGAGCACCATATTGGAGAGGAAATTTCAGTGTAAAAGTAAATACAAGAGCATAAAGATCCTATCTGGAATAGAACCTACTGACGTTACCAGTCTTTTAAAGCCCGTTTTTCTTATGGACTATCCATAATTATGTTTGATCTCTTGAGTATTATATAAATCTGTAGTACTTACAGGCTCAAATAAAATTATAATGAAAGATGTTAGTACTGATATTTTTGTGCCAGCAATAATTATTCATTTAGCTTTTGTAGACTCACATGATCTAGACTGATCAATTACATATATTTTTTATCTCCTGTAACTAGCATGTAATTAATGCAGTACTTTCTAACTGCAGATATATATAGGTAAAAATATTTTTTAAATGCTAAAAAGGTTTTAGCATTTTTATGCTAAAAAAGTAATAATGCCTTAATGCACATTCTTAGGTAATTTTTGTCTGTTTAGGGGCAAACCTTATTGAAATGCAGTTCATGTTTTTATTTTCATTGTGAATAATTAAAGAGAACTTTTATTATCTCTAGTACCTCTCAATTCTCCTTTACACAGTACTATTCACAAAACTGTTCATAATTTTAAGTGAACAAATACAGATTGCAAAACAATGTATGCCTCATTTTGTTTAATATATTTTTTCTTTGCAAAACCGTATGATAAAAAACATTAATATTGTCACTCTTTTTCCTTTTTAAGAATCTGATATTGATGCTGCCACTGCAATGATGCTTTTAAATACTTCTATAGAACAGGGAATTCTAGAATGTAAGTAATCATGCTTTTCTTTTTAAAATACTTTTTTGCGACTGCCTTTTCAAATGTAATTTAGAATGCAAGATATTTAAATGTTACAGTAAAATTATTCTTTCTAGCTAAACTGTTGTCATCTGAATAACTTAGTTTCTTTTTTATTATATATCCATTAACTTAGTGAGCAATGGAGAAATTGAGGTTAATGCTATCAATGTTACATTGACCAAGAAATGAAGAAATAAATAGCATATTTAGAAATAGCATATTTAGAAGATTTAAAAATAAAAATGAAAGCTATAAATAAGAAAAATAAGAAAGTATAATCTTGGAATAGGAAAAACCTTCTTTAAAATACAACCTGCAAAATTCATGAAAGAAATGATGGGTAAATTAAACACCAAAATTTTTAGTGTTCACTTGAAACTAAATAAATAAATTTATTTAAAAAAAATTTTTTAGCATTCTGACAACAAAAGTTATCTTTAAGAAAAGTAACATAAGCAAACCCTGGCAGAACACTTTTTTTTTACTATATAAAACAAAGGATTAATTTTGAGTATATGTATTTATAAGTAAGATATAAGAAACAAGTTCAGCAAAAAAGCCAGCAAAATGTGAATAGGTGGGTTTTAGAGGAGGAAAAACGTGTGGAAAACACACATTTGAAAAGATATGCAACCTTTCTAGAAATTGAAGAAATACAATATGAAACAATATTGAGATACTCCTTTTTTGTCCATGAGGTTATGAAAAATTTAAATAATTGACACTGTTAGGTGTTAAGTATGGGAACTGAGTATTGTCATACACCGCAGGATATAAATTGGTACAACCATTTTGGAGAGCAATTTGGAAATACCAACTACAATTTTAAATGTGTATATCCTTTTACTTAATAATTCTATATCTTGGTATTTCTCCTAGAAAAATATTTGCATATTTGTGAGAAAAGGCATCTAGAAGGATTTTTCACTGCAATGTCATTTGTAGTGGTGACAAACTGATTTTTCAATGCAATGTCATTTGTAGTGGTGACAAACCTAAATATCAACAAGGAAATGGTTAGCAAACCATTGTAGTGGTACATTAAGTGTAGTGATACATTTATATTGAGGCATTCTGTGCAAACAGCTCAAAATAATTCTGTTTTCCATGGAAAGGTCAAAACATCATTAAGTAGTCTAAAATGTTTCAGATTTTAAAAAAATGTTTCAGATTAATACCTACAGAATGATATTTTCTTTCCTTAAAAAATAAAGGAAGTATAAAACATTACTAATCTGTAGCACTTACTATTCAGGAATGATATAGTAGTTTTAAATGGCTTGTTTTTGTAGTCAAATACATCTGACCTATTGGTGGAAGTTTTATTTTTCACAGGTGAGAAGCCTCTTCCTCTTAAAACAGCAATGCAGAAAAAGAGGAGTTATGGCAATGCATTTAATCATCCCAGTGCTATGCGATTACAAGAGAGTGATTCTTTAGCCACTAGCATTGATCCAAAAGAAGACCACAATTACAGTGCAAGTAGCATGGCAGCACAGCGTTGTGCGTCCAGGTCTAGTATGTCTTCCCTGTCCTCAGTGGATGAGGTATATGAATTTATCCCAAAGAGTAGCCACGTGGGAAGTGATGGCAGCGAAGGATTTCACAGTGAAGAAGATACAGACGTTGACTACGAAGATGATCCTCTTGGAGACAGTGGCTTTGCATCACAGGCTTGTGCAGATACCTCTGAAAAAGGGCGGTCAGGCAAAAAGATGCGAAAACAGTCATGTCAAGAAATCGATGAGGAGCTCAAAGAGGCAGCTGGATCTCTGCTCCACCTGGCTGGAATTCGTACATGTTTGGGTTCCCTAATAAGTACTGCAAAGACACAAAATCAAAAGCTGAGGAAAAAATAGAAATACCTATTAGTGTGAAATTATTTTAAAGTGTGGCAATACTCTTCTACATAATTCTTTACAAGGGATACTAAAGCCATATGGACTTCCTTTGTTTTAGGGTGGGGGAGGGATGTTAATTACTTGTTTATTTTAAAGTATTTTGTTTCTTTTTTAAATTTTATTAAGTAATTGCTGTTAGGATCATGCCCCACCTAAATATGATGCGAAGTCCTAAAGGCATAATTTTTGTGATAAGTGTCTCCAAGATTTAGAAATTTTTATATAAGAAAATCCCTAGTCTCTATCTTAGACTTTTAGGAAAATTCTTTTATTCTATTAATATTTCAAAATGTGTCTATTTTCTTTTTCAATCTGCAATTAACTACTGATCCAGCTAAAAATTTTGCTCATGTCTTTCTCATATACTCCTCTTCTGACACATGCAATCTATTAGGGTGATATTTGAATTCTTTTTTGTTTTTAATTTTTTTGTTGAAGTATGACAAAGCTGAATATAAATTGTAAAAGATCCTTGATGTCTCAAAATTTTCTTTTGGTTACAGAGGTAGTACAGCATTTTCTAAGATTTAGAAAAGGCAATTTTGTGGTGTAATTTCATCCAAGAGCACTCCAATTCCTATTACAATATTATCTTTGAAATTTTTTTACTTCCCAGATATTGCACAGCATTTACTGGGGCCTTTTATTCTTTCCTAGAGTGCTTTGCAACCACCATTTAAATATTAGCCACTAGCTGTCTTTGTTGAATTGAAACTATCCAATGAGAGGATATAGCCATAGAGTGTGTTATGGAGTTTTGACACACTTTTGCAATGAGCATCTTTCATTTGCTTAAGTGTTCTACATTCTGAGAATCTTGTAGTAGGAATGGAGTATAAAGTAACCCTTTTGAATACTTATGTTGTCATGAGTAAAGGTAGATTATTTAGGAAAAAACTTCTTTTCAAGCTTTATATGAATTAAATTTGTATGTATATCCAATTAAATTTAAAAGGATGTAACAAAATTAGGGACAAAATACCTTTATAGATTTCAAAATTTATATAAAATTAAATCTTATATAATTCACCCTTTTGAGGTGTCAGTGTAATACCTATTATGTGCTATCAACCCATGCTAAAAGATTTTATATTACAGTTCTAAACGTGATTGACTAAGGCATTTAAGTATTCAAACAAACCTACCTGCGTGTATGAGACATTTTTTCATATCATTTGTATAGTTTGACTATATTACTCAGAAGGAATACAGGATACTAATAAAATTAAATTTATTCATTATATTTTTTTTACAATGGCAGAAGCAACTTTTTGTAAGTTCAGTCTTATGCTCTCTCCTGTTTCAGAGACAATGACCCTGTTTTCATTTTCTGATAATTTCATATATGTATACATACATACACACACACATAGGCTCATGATTTTGATTTGTTACTTTCAGCTATTTCTATGACTATAAAGCATTTACTTGGATTTTTTTAAAGAGAAATATTTTAACTTCTAAATTTTATTAGGGCAAAACTGTCAAATGAGAAGCATAATGAAAACATCTTTTTCAATTGGCAAGACGTTAAGCCAGGGATAACATTAATATTATCTGTCCTATTTCTATGTTAATTGTAATTGAACCTGGATAGCCACACTAATAGAATTGGTGCTATCGAAATTTGGTAATTTTTAAATTTGTCAGTAACGAAAAATAGTCCTTAACCACGCAGGATGAGGCATTTGGATTTTTTTTTTTTTCTGTATGTGTCACATCTACTACAGAAAGTGGCCAACCCAAGTTAACACCTTTTGCTGTAGACAATGAATATAACACCAAAAATTGCTTTACCACAGTATAAAATAGTACACAGAATAAAATAATACACAGATTTTTATAAAAATCATTTTAGTAACAATATTTTTAAGCTATTTACTAGGGCCCTCTGGATAGAACTTAGTAGCAATGTTTCAATGATCTGGTTCCAGTTTATTTTGCTCTACTGAAATTCTGTACTACAAATGTTCTCTCTGGTTCCTGTCCATTAGATCATTATTCTTTGTAAGGAAAGGAAGATGATCTCAGATAAGGAGGGAGAGTTGTCCCCAATTCTAATAGGGATCTTCAAAATTATTTTGTCTTAACATAAATAACAGTAGCTCTTTAAACTTGATTTTCTCTCCCTCTTCGTGTACTCCTCCCACAAATTTAAAAGTTTAGGTTATATTCATCACTAGCAAGGGCAATAAAAACTTTTGCACTGAAAGCTAACAGTAAGAAGTTACACATATTTTACACTTAATTCTTGTACAGAATTCAGTGCTTCACTTTCTATTTGCTGATTTACCAACACAGCTATTTTCAAGGGGAGGAACCATTTTAATTACGGCCCCCCATATTCCATAGTCATTATGATATCATTTCTCAGGTGTATTGAGATAAAAACATGGCTAATAACCACCCAATTAAGGAAAGTCATTTCAAGTCCTATGGACTGGAAATTGTGTCTCCAATAGTATATTACTAACAAATTTTACTGTAATAAAAACAAGTTGGCAATCCTGGAGAAGTTATATATTTTCCAACATTTTAAAACTGTGATTTAAGCAAACCTATAATTTGCCTTACATCGACATAAATCGTTACAACCAATTCCAGTTTATAAATAGATCCCTAGTAAAAATTTTGCCTCAAAAAAATCTTCATCTTTCACATCCCAAATAGAATCAGTGTTTCCTGAATACTATATATTTTTGAAATATATTTGTGCAATATATTACTAAATTAGTTAAATTTTATTTTACTCTTCAAATTCAGAGAAAGAAAATATTACTCATATTCATGCAAAAGCTAATTATTGGTGGATCACTTTCTTTTTTTCCACCTTTGAGCCTTTCCTGTTCTCCTTGCCAGCATGACTTCTCTTAGAATTCTTTGTATATAGTAAAGTTTAGAATATATATTTTTTTTCTTTCGCTACTTTCTGAGGCATTATGTAAAGGGTTGATCAGTTAAATCTATGTTAGCGCAAATTCAAAGCTAGAGAAAGTGTTAAAGAGGGAATGTGTGTGTCTTGGTAGACCAGGAGGCCTTTCCCAGCAATTTAAGCAACAGATGTGAATGCTTCACAAATCTATAAGACTATTGTCTTAAATACTACAGTAACTCAACTACCTTTTGTGAAGACCATAGCATTTAAATAAGAAACTTTGAGGCTTTCTGGTTTACATATATTTTTTAGTTTTTGTTAGTTTGAAATGTGTAAGCTTTGATTTAAACAAAGTTTACTTCATTATGTTAATGATGTAGTCAAAATATTTATTGAAAAACAAAGTAGAGTATTTTAATGTATACCTGCCTTTATTTTCTTAAAGCATATTTTTTTGCATCTAACTGCCAGTGCCATTGTCAAAATTTGTTTTTAAACTGTTGTACGTTTCTTTATTAAACTAAGTGCTTAATTTTAAAGTATGATGTTACCATCATAATAATGTATAAAAATGTATAATTGCCAATTCATTGTAACTGTTATTTATTTTTAACGAAAGTGTAAGAATGCTGTCCGATTCAAGAAATTTGAATTAAACTGTTTCCTTATCCTCTTTTCTAATGTAGCATAAAAATTTCCCCTGAGTTTGAGTTTTAACTGCCAGTAGATGACCAGTCCAAGTGTACCACTTCTCAGTTGCCAGTCATTGCTCATATTAAAAACAACTTAACAAATGTTTAGTTTTTGTATCTAATCTCTGATTATTAAAGTGTTTATAAAGTTTATTTTTACCAAAGAGATGCAATTCATTATGATAAAGTATTGCAGAATAAAGCTTGTTTTATAACATTTTTGTGCTTTCTCTGTTCTTTGGGGGTGGATAGTGTAGACATGGGTGACTCATACTCCTATACACACATACACTTTCCATTTTAATGTTATCAAGTTGGAGACATACAAATGAAAAATGAAGTGTCAATTTCAGAATTTTTTAAAATAAAAAATGGAATAAGAAATAAGGACAGATTCTACAGATATTAAAAGGATAATAAAAGAATATTATTAAGTACTTTATGCCAATAAATTCAGCAACTTAGATGAAATGAACACATTTTTTAAAGACAAATTGCCAAATATAAACCAAGAAGTAGAAATCTGAATAATCTAGTGCCAATTTTTAATTGAATTAATAATTATTAGTAATTTAAAACCTTCCAACAAGATGAAACCTATGAAAATTGGTAAGTTGGACATCATTAAAATTAAAAATTTCTGCTCTCTGAAAGTTAAGAGAATAAGACAATAAGCCACAGTCTGAGAGAAAATACTTGCAGAACACCAAAAAAGATTAGTTCCAAAAGTATACAAAAAACAAAATTCAACAATAAGAAAACAAACAATACAAATTTAAAAATGGGCAAAATATCTCAATAAACACTAAAGAAGATAAACAGATTGTAAACAAGCATTATGCAAAAGATGCTCAACATATGTTATTAGAGAAATGTAAATTTTAAAAACAATGAGATACCACTACATACCCATTAAAAGGCTAAAATCCACGAACACTGACAACAAATATTAGCAAGAATGTGGATCAACAGATACTCTCGTTCATTTGCTGTATGGAATAGAAAATGGTACACAGCCTCTTTAGAAGTCAGATTTGCAGTTTCTTACAATACTAAACATGCTTTTATTCTATCACCCAACAATCATACTCCATGATATTTACAGACGTTTTATTTGTAATTGCCAAAACTTGGAAACAACAAAGATGTCCTTCAATATGTGAATGGATTAAAAAAAACTAACATCCATACAATGGAATATCATTCAGCCAAAAAAAGAAATGAGCTATTGACATTTCTTCATGGGCGATATACAAATGTACAACAAGCATCTGAAAAGATGCTTAACATCACCAATAATGATAAAAGGAAATTAAAATCACAATAAGATACCACCTCACACAAGGAAGTGGAAAAATTGGAACCCTTGTGCACTGTTGGTGAAAATGTAAAATGGTGCAGCTGCAATGGAAAGTATATGGAAGTTCCTAAAGAAATTAAAACTAAAATTACCATATGATCCAGCAATTATCTTTCTGGGTATATACCCAAAAGAATTGAAAACAGGATCTCAAAGAGATCTTTGTACACTCCTGTTCATTGCAGCATTATTCACAATAGCAAAAAAGAGCACTTCAAGCATCCATTGACAGGTAAATGAATAAACAAAATGTGGTATACATAACACTGAAATATTCAGTCTTAAAAAAGGAAGGAAATTTTGACTCATACTACAACTCAGATGAACCTTGAGGATATTATGCTAAGTGAAATAAGGCAGCCACAAAAAGATGAATGGTGTAAGATTCCACTTATATGAGGTACCTAGAGTAGTCTAACTGATAGAGACAAAGTGAAAGGGTGGTTGCCAGAGGCTGGGGGAAGGGGAAAATGGGGAGTTGTTTAATGAGCATGAAGTCTGAGTTTTGCAAGATGAAGAGTTCTGGAGATTGGTTACATAACAACGCGAATGTACTTAACGCTACTGAACTGTACACTTAAAAATGATTAAAATGATAAATTTTACGTGTATTTTGCCACAGGAGGGAGGGAGGGAGGGAGGAAGGAAGGAAGGAAGGAAGGAAGGAAAGAAGGAAGGAAGGAAAAATAAAGGATATATCAAGCCACAAAAAGACATGAGAGAAACTTAAATGCATATTGCTAAGTGAAAGAAGCCAATCTGAAAAAAGTGGAATTTTTAGGGCTGTGAAATTACTCTGCTATTATAATGGTGAATACATGTCACTATACGTTTGTCAAAACCCATAGGATGTACAAGACAAAGAGGGACCCATAATGTAAACTATATTTTAGTTAATAATAATGCATTAATATTGGCTCATCAATTGTAATAAGTACACCACACTAATGTAAGATGTTTATAATAAGAGATACTTGGGGTGTGGGGAATAGGGCTCGAAGAGAGTATGTGAGAACTCTGCTTTTTGTAACCTAAAACTGCTCTAAAATAATAAAGTCTATTAAAAATAAAGCAAAAACAAAAACAAAAAAAATGTTGCAACTGAAAGAGCTCCCAATAGCCAAAGCTGGAACAATTTGAGTAACAAAACAAACTAAATGGTATTGGATTATAACCCAAAATATAAAATAAATAGCCATGAGTTCACATCGATATAAATAATGATTGGATAAATTAAATGGAGGAAAAGAGACAAATTTCGCATGCAGAAGAATTCCAAATAAATTATGTAAATACCCCACTCTAAAGGAAAAGGTAGGGGCTTCATGTAATGACTTCCTGCCAAGGAGTATAGTATGGAGGTGGGGCAAGGGTTGGGGAGGTAATTTCACAGTGGAGAAGGCTGACAGACACTACTTTAGCCTGGTGACTGGTCAATATCAACAGTCATAAATCTGTTTCCTTGTATTTGCCTGCTCTAGATACCTCATATAAGTAGAATCATACGATAATTGTCCTTTTGTGCCTGTTTCATTTTACTTAATGTTCTCAAGGTTCATCCATGTGATGGTATGTATCAGAATTCCATTCCTTTTTTAATATGAATAATATATATTGTGTGTATATATATGTATACATACCATAATACATACCATATTTTGTTTACTCAATCTGTTGATGAACATTTGGGTTGTTTCTACCTTTTGGCTCTTGCGAATAATGCTGCTATGCGAATTGGTGTACAAGTATCTGTTTAAATTCCTGCTTTCAATTCTTTTGGGTGTATACCTAGAAGTAAAATTGTTGGATGACATGATAATTCTATGTTTAACTTTTTTGAGGAACTTGTTTTCCACAAGTGCTGCACCCTTTTACATTCCCACCAGCAATGCACAAATGTTCCAGTTTCTCCAGATCATCCCCAATACTTGTTTTCTTTCTTTCTTTCTTCCTTTCTTTCTTTTTTTATAATAGTCATCCTAATGGAGGTGAAGTAAGGGGTCTCACATTTTTGTGTGTCTTGAAAACAGAGGCACTGACAATCTTCCAGACTTATTTTCAAGGATGTTTATATAGTGAACAACCATAGAAGACAGTTGTTTCCCTCCAGAGCAAACAGGTTCATTTGATGTCTAGTGTAATAAAGATAATGGCTCCCTCTAGGGCAAAGGTCAGACATATTTGCTTGCACCTTGTTCATGTTGTTGTTTACAGTATTAAATCTCTTAATAGGTAAAGTAAATATAAAACCAAATCTTGATCAATTTATAGCACAATTGATTTCAGAACACCATAATTTACTGCTACCAAGCAAACACTTTAAGAACCCGGATGTTTGGTATCTTTCTAGTCAAATGAGCAGGAACCACAGCAGCAGCAGAACTTTCCCCTCACATCTGTTAAGATTTCATTTAAAGAACTCCCACTCACTTTCTGCTTTCACCTGTCCACCAATCTGAATTCTTAAAGGAACTTATATATTAAATTGGTTTTTCCTGAATGTGTTTGCTGGTAATTCTGAGAATAAATGACTCCTTGAAAATTGATTCTGTGTAAATACTATCTTTCTCTTCTTTTAGATGAATTTTCCCAACAAAATGTATCATCAGCTGTAATTTACTTTAAGAACAATGTTGATTATTCAAAGGAGGAATTGCAATGTTCAAATACTTGCAGCCAGCTCTTGGGAGAGGCAGGGGTATTCTTATACATTTCGACTGACACACTACAGATTCTTTATCAGTGGAGGTAAATATACAAGGCCATATACAATGTTATCAGTATTCTCTCTATAATTGCTTTCCAGTAGAATTGGCAGAAAGGAATTCTTACTCTTCTGTTTCTCAGGAAGGGGTTGCCTTTGTTACAGCTCAACTATAAGCTTTATATGGAATTGCAGCTTTAAAAATACAGCATTAATTGGAAACAATTACCCAATTATACCAGCTGTGAATATGCTATATACTGAATATTTACCAAGAAAAGAGCACATTTAACAGATGATTTAATATAGTAGCCTGGCATTGTGAATCTGCAACCGACACTCCAGTCACAGAGCTAGTGTCTTCAAGGGCTGAAATATTGAAGAATACACTGGTAGCTCATGTCAGAGCCAAAAACAAGACTATCAGGCTTCATTTTCAAAACAGTACAAATGTGTTACGTAAATTTCAAAAGTAATCAAAGAGCTGATTTTTTTATTATCTAAAATGCATGCAATTTCTCCAACTGCTTGATTTTCAAAGTAGATGTGCTTTCTATTTTAAATGATTTTTTTTCCCCCCACTCCTTGAAGCCTTATGCATGTATCCTGAAGTCTTATTATGGGGCTGTCCTTGAAACTGATGCTTTGGAACCACTTTAGGTACTTCTCAGATAAGCACCAAGAAGAACTTACCCTGTGTGAAATTCCACTCTGCAACCAATGGTGTGATAATGAGCTGAGGGGTAGTCATTTTCTGCCTATCATCTATTCAGCTTCGCAAGTGCTGACCAAGTGCATGAGCGGAGGAAAAGGCTTTGGCTAGACTAGCGTTGATTATATGAATGTGAAGATAATCCATATGCTATCAAGGAATATTTTTATGGGCAAAAATCTACTACTAACACCTGCAAAATTGGCTCTGCAAGAAATGAAGAAAATGTTTAATTAATCAAATTTGTTGGCTCTATATTAAAGGAACAAAACAAAGGAACCAAAACACTTCACTACCAACTCTTGAGTCATCTTATTGGTGCTGTCTTGACAAAGAGATACCATTCCTCTATGTAATATGATGTCACCTTTGTCCAATCATAACCTTCCTTATGAGAGTGGGGGATAACTCTCTGGAGACAAGGTGAGTGACAGCAGCAAG